GGGCAACACCTAGTAAGGAATACGTTATAGATAACTATTATAGCTCAATTCTAACGCGCGTGCTGATTGGCGGATTTCATGTCTGCCTGACGCTAAGGATAGTTCGAGTAGTGACTTCACATCATTCACACCACTTGCAATATCTGTTAACCTTGCTTTAATATCTTCCTGGCCCTCTTCAAGCTTTTTTAGACATTTGATAACCTCTTCTTTGAACGCTTCTAGTGCGGAGGTAATTCGTTGGAACTCTTCAGGATTACTTTCCTTGAGAGATTGTACTTCCTTTAGCACCAAGGACACATTTTCATAGACGTTTAACAGGCCTCCATCAGGTGGGTTGCGAAGGCAAAGGGCAACACCTAGTAAGGAATACGTTATAGATAACTATTATAGCTCAATTCTAACACGCGTGCTGATTGGCGGATTTCATGTCTGCCTGACGCCTGACGGCTCGTGATTTACAGATCTTTTCTCGTGTTCTCCCAACCATCCCTCGCGGTCTATTTCACCAGTAAACCGCTTCAAGCTATCGTTTATTGCTTAAATACAACACACGAATAAATGGTTGATCGGCCTAAAGTTATAGAGCAGTTGGAGCTTATCACTCTATACATTTTTTACCGACCAAAGCCAGAGGAGTTGAATTGCATGAACAATTCATTTATTACTAGTGGATACATATTAAGGGTTCCCACTCATCTTTAAAAGTAAAATTCCCTGACTTTTCCCTGACCAAAAACCCTTTTTCAATGACCAGGCGACAAGATTGTCTTTAGTCCCATAAATATAGCTTGCTGAAGCACGAACCATTTTATAAGCGAAATCACTATTTTTTTGCAAAGACCAGGAAAAATTCACCAAAAATTCCCTGACTTTTTGATAAGTTGTATATTTCCCTGACCAAAATCAAAATTCCCTGACAATTCCCTGACCTTGAAAAGAATTCAAATTTCAAATGAAGTTATACTTTCAAGAGGAATCTGTCCAAAGTTTTAATCAACTTACCATTCTCTTCCCATTCTTTGAGTTCTTCTAGAAGCTTCTTCTCCTCTTCATCAGCTAGTATCAGACTTTTCACCAGAACATCCATGAATTTGAAGCAGTCTGCAATTTTCACTTCGTCCCATTCAGTAAAATTGCAATGACCCCATTCATTGCGTACGTATTGTCGGACGTCCTTGGCGGCAGCTTGCGTCGCCGGAAGGAAAACGCTTGCAGAAGATAATATTCCAAGAACAGCCGACAGGTCACAGGTTTCATCAATTCCTGTAACGATTAAAAGAAGAGGTCAACAACTCTATGCCAAATTCTGATGGAACCACCGCCTTGCAATTTTTGAGACTCGGTCATGGAGAATCCACCGACCGCATGGAAATCTATGCCATTAAAAGGTCTTTCACTGATTTAAATATACAATTCTTTTAAACCAAAGCAGCATCATTAAAGTTAAAATAACGTTTAAAACAAACCAGTGAATTTAGCCATAAAAGGCTTCAAACACAGCTTTGCCAAGTCGACCTCAGATGTGACCCTGTAGTCAAACAGCGGTGGTTTCTTTCCTTGGTTGCTGTTTATGCTGTCATAATTGAATTTGTATGTGCCATCCATCTTAAGATGTGTTCCAAAGACTTGGGTGTCTATGTTGTGATTGGTCTTCAGATCATTGTAGTGTTTGGTAATCTTTGGAAGAACAAAATTTCGTAAAGCAGGCAACAGTACCTTCATGATAGCAATACCAACCACAACCCATCTTTTGCTATTTTCATCAAGGCTTAAGGATCCTGAAAAAAATGATGAAACATATTAATATAATTCTCCAATTTTTAAATAGCACTCCACGAAATTAAAAACTGTTTGTTCAAATTTTGTGTATATTATGCAAAGTAGCTCGATGCCATGTGATCAGTCAAGAAAAATAATTTTGTATCAAGGAATTTTTTACCTGTAGTCGAAATCATGCCAATGGGTACTGTCCTGGGACCGGCTCCGTGGATTGGTTGCGAAGCAGCCGGCTATAATATTAATGATAACATAGAATAGAACACAAGCAACGAGTTCTTAGTTAACATCATTTTAACTTCAGTCCGAAACACTTTCAGGTCTGTTTTAAACAATTGAAAATTTCGCAAAGGAACATATAAGGAAAATGCAAAATGAAACATAGGGAGTACGAAAGTAGTGGTAATAGGCCGATTCTGGCGCTTTTTTTAAATTCCATTCTAGCTCCCGCCCACATGGCTAGCCACCCGATTTTTGGTTAAAAAACACGATTTTATGTAAAATTTATCCACTACTATGGGATTTAATAATAGATCGTCTATTTTAATAA